GGGATCTGTCAGATGTGATCTGTGTACAGCCTTTATCGCACCAGTCTTGGGGATTTTGGTGAAACAGAAGGTAGTGATCTCCTTGGGGATTACACTGTCGTATAAATAGATTTCAGGTGTTTAAATGACAACTCCTGGCATATTTCTTTCTCTGCCTTGAAAAGAAGGGGCCTTTGGGCTCAGGCGATAGGACACCAGGTGGGTCAGCCATGCCTCCCGGGCCTTCGGGCCCCCGGCTGCGTGGTTTCGCGAACTGGCTCACCCTGTGCCCCTCTCTGTGCAGGTAAACAGATCCAGGTGCTCTCGGGCCACCTGCAGTGGGTTTACTGCTGCTCCATCTCGCCCGACTGCAGCATGCTGTGCTCGGCCGCTGGAGAGAAGTCGGTAAGGCTCATGTCGGGCGCTGCCTCCGTTGCCCGCGTGCGGCGAGACCAGGAGGCCTGAGCGGGCCTGGTGAGGGAGAGGGTGGGTAGGGCCCGCACCTCCAAACCCCTCCAAACCCGGCTGCAAAGCAGCCCCGGCAGGACGCGTGCTCGTGGGCCGGGTCCTCCTGTACGTCGTCGCCTCTCTTGATTTGCGTGTTGACATAAACCGAGAGGAGGTGTTGAAGGACATGGATTGCCCTCATCACCGGAGGAGGGCTGTTTGCCTTTACAAAACGGTAAAGGTGTGCTTTTTAAATCTCTTCCCCTTGGAGTCTCGAGATTTTGAAAGTTGCAACCCCTATATGAATCGCAATTTCCCTCCTTTGAACAATTTCATTTGAATCTGTGTGATGGGAGTTTCCATTTCAAATCAGAATGTACGGTTACTTGTTGAACTTTGTTCTGAAGTCCTGTTGTTTAAGAAAGTATTAGAAACCCAAGAACAATTTGGGAACAGTGTGTTTGTCTGATTTTACATCTGCATCGAGCTGTTTGCCGTGACTGAGCCGGCAAAGGGAAGAGTTCACTGTGTGGTACGGCCCAGGTTGGTTAATCATTCATTTGGGGTTTGGAACTACGTGATGGCAAGTTTTCTTCAAGGGGAGAAAATAAAATCCCATTTTTCATGATTCTCAAAAAGATTTCAAGCGATGAGCTGTGTCAGACGTCCGCACAGTTGTGGGGCACATTCCCACTGCTCTGTAAACACGTGTAAAATGGCTCGGCAAGGTGCCACCGCTCTGGTGGGAGCCCCGGGGCTCACCTCTGACCCCTATTTTTGCTTTTAACTGAGAGGACAAGATAGCGCTTTATCAGCACACGGTGTGATTTTGCAAACAGGGCTCAGAAGCAGAACCGAGAAGCCTCTACGGGTACACTTTAGCCGCTAGTCTTCCTGAGCTTGGCTGGGCGCACTCTCCCTTGGACTGCGCTCCTTGAACTTGTGCGCTGGTCGGCACCTCGGGAGCTCCGACCTGGTGCTCCACCTAAGCCTCTGTGACACGGAGTGGAGAGCTTGGCTTCATCCGGCACTGCCGTGTCGTTGGCTTGCTGTGCGAACTGTCGCTGCCCCTAACCGGGCACTTGTTCCTTCGCACAGGTGTTCCTGTGGAGCATGCGGTCCTACACGTTAATCCGGAAGCTAGAGGGCCACCAAAGCAGTGTTGTCTCTTGTGACTTCTCCCCCGACTCCGCCTTGCTTGTCACGGCCTCTTACGACACCAACGTGATCATGTGGGACCCCTATACTGGCGAGAGGCTGAGGGTACTCCAGTAAGGACGGGATCCCTGCTTCGGACCGTGTTGCGGGGGGCACTGATGAGAAGGCTGCCTTGGGTTCGGCATGGCCCGTATGGGGTCGGGGGCAGGGGAAGCGGCTGCGGGGCGGGGGGGGGGGGGGGGGGCGGCTAGCGCCTGGGTAGAAGGCACAGAGTTCAGGCCTTCCGAGGCAGTGGCATGCCGTGGCACTTCATTGTCACTTACATGGCTCCCGATGTGGGAGGCCGTGCATGTCTCTGGATTCAGCGTTAATGAAACCTCAAAGTGACTCTTTCTTTCCATTTACTAATAACCAGAGTAGCAAGTTCAGAATGATCCTCTTACTGAAACTGGTATTTCCAAAATGAATTTTCATGTTCTCACAAACTTGGGTCTTTTTCTCTTTGTCTCTGTTGTTTTCTGAGGCAAATAATAGGTAGTCCTATAATTATCATGTATCTTAGCTGAAAAAAGACTTTCAGTTTGTACTGTGGCATTGAAGTGAGGGCTGACCTACTTTGCATAAGGAAATTAGCACGGGGAGTGTAACCCTTCAGCCCCTTACGCGAGACGCTTAGGAAATGCGCTTTTTCCCCCCACTCTGCTTATCCCACGGTTTTCCACAGGGGGTAAGGATGGGTCTTTGAGCCCATCATAGCCCCGGCATTGGAATGAAGCTGGAGGGTGGGGGGTGGCCATCACCCCAGGCCGACCGTCCTATTTCTTTCTCCTCAGCCACGCCCAACTTGACCTCCCCATGGACGACAGTGATGTGCACATTAGCTCCCTGAGATCTGTGTGCTTCTCTCCCGAAGGCTTGTACCTTGCCACGGTGGCAGATGACAGGTAATGCGGAGACATCTCGGTGTGTGGCCTCAGAGCAAGTCCTCACAAGTCACTGTAGCATTCCCCCCCTCTGGGGCTGGCCCCCCTGTCTGCTAATGTGCGAACATTTCTTTTCTCTCTCGTCCAGACTCCTCAGGATCTGGGCCCTGGAACTGAAAACTCCAGTTGCGTTTGCTCCTATGACCAATGGTCTTTGCTGCACATTTTTTCCACACGGTGGAGTTATTGCCACAGGGTATGTGTCTGATAGCTGAACAGATGGGGCGCGGTTTCTGCTGAGTGTATCGCGTAGCTTTTTAAGGAGAGCAAGGATCTAGAATGTTCTTGCCTATGATGAAGCCTTTAAAGGAAATCTAAGAGGACACAAAATGCTAATATTCTATTCTGCCAGTACAGGTTATCATTTACTCTTTTTTTTTTTTTAAGATTTTATTTATTTGCGAGGGAGAGAATGAGAGACAGAGAGCATGAGAGGGAGGAGAGTCAGAGGGAGAAGCAGACTCCCTGCTGAGCAGGGAGTCCGATGCGGGACTCGATCCCGGGACTCCAGGATCATGACCTGAGCTGAAGGCAGTCGCTTAACCAACTGAGCCACCCAGGTGCCCTATCATTTACTCTTAATATTTAATCTAAGAGTAATTAAAGAGCTCTGATTCATGCCACTTAATGGGCCACGTCCACAAGGAGGCCTAAGTCGGGATGATGCAGAATTTCTGAGAAACCACTTGGGGCAGAGACCACCTTGCAGGGAGCATCTGTAATTCAGGAGGTGGCACTCTTCCCTCTGTTGCATTGGAACTCACGGTGTGATTCAGAAGGGACCGAGCTCACAGATAGCACTTTGGTATCAAGTGTCTTGAGTTCTTCTGATCCTCTCAGCGGCCTTAATTATTCAGCATCACAGCCTTTACATCCATTTCGACCATTAGGGTTGCATTTAAGGGCCGCATTGCACTCCCCGGGTGTCTCCTGCTAACACAAGTCAGAGTCGAAACATTAATACCCATCACCGTGAAACTGTGTGTTTCCAAGGTCTCACTTAAAGCGTCCGTTTCTGTTCTGTTTCAGGACAAGGGACGGCCACGTCCAGTTCTGGACAGCTCCTCGGGTCCTGTCCTCACTGAAGCACTTATGCCGGAAAGCCCTTCGAAGTTTCCTGACCACCTACCAAGTGCTAGCACTGCCGATCCCCAAGAAAATGAAAGAGTTCCTCACATACAGGACTTTTTAAGCCACGCGCCATAGTCTTACTTGTTTGCTTGTAGCAGGAACAAGCTTCCTGGCAGAGGAGTAGCTGGGAACGATGGGCCAAACAGCTGGTCTTCGACTGAAATAGAATTTCTCTTTGAGATGGTGAGCAGAGTGTAGCTAAAGCAGATGCTGGCGGACTGGTCATCCAGGTGTTCCTGTGTGACCTGCGGCAGTCAGTCATAGAGGGGCTCGCAGCCTTACCTGAAATCCTCAGCCCACTAACAAACGGCAACATCAGACACTTTGTCAAGTCCTTCCGATTCAGAGTGCAGTGACTCATGTTGATTTGATAAGCAGAGTAACCAGGCCTCGAGAGCCTCTCTGCTGGGGCAGGTTATTCCCTTGACCGGCGAGTGGGCAGGTGTTGGCTTGTGCCTAGTACTTGTCATTGTCGTGTTTCAGACGCAGTGGTGACGTTGTTTAAAAAGTTCTCTCCTGCCGTGTCAGAGTGGCTTTGCTGTTGGCAAGTGCTTGCCTTCCTCGAGCTCCCCTCTGGCCAGCAGGACCGAGTTTTCATGGAGCCGTCTGCTGGGAGGTCAGAGCTAGATTACAGGGCGCTCAGAGGTGTGCTCCTGACTGATACACTAGAAACGGCTTTTTTTTTTTTTTTTTTTTAATCAGTGGTGTGCATGTGCCGGAGATGACAAACGTGTGTGTCCGGGTACCCGGGGACGTATTCCTCAACTGCATGACTGTCCAAATGGCGGCTGACTTGTCAGCAGCTTGCTGTTTGCAGCCTATTTATTTGTATTTTCTCAACAGATGTTAAGGTACAACTGTGTTTTTCTCCCTGGTATCTAAAAACTATAGTTCTTAAGTCGAACAGTTGTGAAGATGTCTCTTCTTCGTTGTGTAGAGAATTGGTGTTCTCGCCGCCTTGGCAAGCTGATTGTCACGTACAAGGTCTGACTTCGCTGCTTTGCCTCATCGGACCAACCAGCCCGGTTCACCCCTTACCAAAAACAGCTCCTTGAAAGTACTGTTCTCCTTCAGTGGCGTGTAGTTCTCTGATCAAGACACCTCATTCCAATGAAATCTGCCTTTGGAAAATTTAATATATTTTAAATTATTTTAAAAGAAATGCAACATCTTATCCTTTGGCTTTCTTACTAGGTGCTTTGTGGAGGCCAGTGTTAACGTGATAAAACTTGTTGCAAAAGTACAAGAGTCTCCTCTACCACTTTTGTTGCTGAAGAAAAACATTTCTTTTCAAGATGAGAGGCTTTCATTGAAGGAAAAGTTAAAAAGCTTTCGGCTCACTGTTGCATTTTTCCCACTAAGAAAAAAAATACCCACCTTTTAAAACAAGTGAGTACAGCAGGACAGCGGGGAACGGCTTGGGCCAGTTTTACACTTTGTGGTCATCTTGAGGCATCCCAGCGCAGCCTGAGAGGTTCTGGGTGGCTTCCCCGAGCCCCGTCTGGCCATTAGCTGCAGACTTAGCTCGGGGTTCTCGGGGAGCGAGGTGTACGTGGATGAGGCAAATAACCAACCTCTCCCTTTTGATAGTCTGAGAAGCTGACACCTTTATAGAGAGCAGCCTCCGAAGTAAGCTTGTTCTGTGATAGCGGAGAGGGGGAAGGCTTTTTCACATAAACGCAAGGTAAGTCAGCATCCTTCTAACTGGTGAAGGAAAGAGTAGCTCGTAAACAGCCAACGTGCAAGCTGCTTTATTTTTATGGAGAAGAACACTCATAAGGGCAGCCTGTTTGCTGTGAGAGAAACTGCTACCCTGTCCACAGGGCCCCGTCCTTCCCGCACGTGTCGGTGCCCGGCCCAGCCCGGGCTCATCTGCCCTGCCTGTGTTAACAAGGGAGTACTGTGAGGCCTTGCCCCCCGCGGGCGTAAAATGACGCTTCGCTGTCTCACCACAATTAGGAACCTGCTTGTAGAGGAGAAATAAAAAGACGTTTTTAAAGGAAGACAGTTAACTGAGCCCGTTTATAGGAGTACAATAGTTTGGGCCAGAAATCGACGCACACCTTTTTTTTTTTTTTTTCATTGACACCTGTTTAAAGCAGATCCAGAGACCGGGCCGCAAATTAGGTTTATGCACTTAGTTGTGGAGCTGTTCTGTTTACCTTGAGTTAGAAAACATTGGCACCACGGGAGATTGGGAAGCCTTAGGTTCTAGACCAAAAATGGGGCAGGCAAATTTCCTGTCATCCAAGCAACGGAATGATAAAAGCTTTAAGGCTAAAAGAAAAAAAATCTCTTTGCGCCTTCTTTTCCGCCCTAAGACACAAGTGGGCAGCAGTAAGAGAGCTGGGCGTTAAAACTGTTTTGTACCTGCTCCAAACGGCCACAAACACAGTACTTTTTAAACCTTTGCCCACCCAGGCCTGGAACAGGGTTTTCCAAAGCTTGGGGCGATCGGGGCTTCAGTCCTCAGCCGTAACTCAGTCCCCTGTTGTCCAGTCACCGTGGGGCCTGCGAATCGCAGCAAACAGGCTTAGCAGTTAGGCCTCTGTGACAATCAGGTCCCTGGTGACCTGGAAAGCGGCAATGAGGGAACTCAGCTGAATCTTCTCGTTGGTGCCAACAGAGAGTCTGTACCTAAAAGAAGTCAAACAAAAGGTAAGAATAGAGAGTATCACGGGACAGCTGCCTTTTGACAAGGGGACGAGAGACAGCAAAGACAGGGACAGTGTGCCGAAGGAGGAAAGCAGGCAGTCAAACTTGATCCTGGACAAGGATCTTCAGTGTGTCCGCTGACGTTCTCCTCTCTGCCCTGAACACTCATTTATAAATTCCACTCAAGCTGGTAAGGAAAAGTTAAATTAAAAAAACTGTTATCAATGGCAGTGTTCGGAAGTTTGTGCTAGCCGTCTAGACATATACAGAATTTAAGTGATAAGGATTTATTTCTTCACTCACAAAATGTACTGAGAGATTTCCTTCCTCTTAATTCACTTGAGAATGGGGAACTGTGATTCTGTGGTCTAGTTAGTAAAGCAGGACACTGGTGGTTCATCTTGCCACCTTCCCAGTGCCCAGCCAGTGAAAGCAAAATCATGACATTCGTTACGTAGGGAGAAGTGACCTCATGTGTGAGTGTGAAAGCCAGTGAGAGCAAATTAGAGTCGGTCCGTGTTGGCATCTGTTTAGAACCCAGTGCTTCTGTCCACTTAAATGATAGCTGCCAGCTTCACTGGGGGCTAATAACTGTTTATGGAACCAGGCAAAGTGGAAAATTGAGTTTCTGTTTACTTTGCCCCCCAATATGCTTTGCTATGCCAAAATGCTTTAATAACAGCTGGATAGCTGGTTGTCCCCAAATGACCTAGACGTCGGAACTGAAGCAGGCCTTCCAGATAACGGCACTTCTAGAACCAATGTGGACCAAGCCTTTGAGGTCTAAGGAGAGGCCTTTATCTCCCAGTCCGTTACTGAGCCGAACCTGTCCTTGTGTTCATTCATGTATTCTTTAAACAAGCAAGTCATACCCTTCCCATGTTTCTTTCAGTGATCCCACCAAAAACTAGACTGTGCCATATAGGAATGAGGTAGACAAGAAAGTTGGAACCAAGCAAGTAGAAAGAAAAAATGCACAACAGGGTAAAAAAAAGGAAAGGAATCAAAATTGGGAAGTACTCACTCTATGTCTGCCATTTTGGTCAATAAATGTACTCGAACTGAAGATGGAAAGTCAACTGTGGGGAGAAACAAAATCAAATCAGTGAGGGTCTGCCCCTTCCTACTACCAAAAAAAAAAAATCCCACGACAATTATGAGCTTAAACGTCAGAGGACACTACACTTGTCTGGAGGCCTCGGGTCACTGGCTGCCACACCTCTAAGGAAGTGAACACTGGATGAGTTCAGTTTTTATCCATCTTGTGAGCAGGTTCCAAAGCGATCCCAAGAACCCGGAAGAGGCACCAATATTGCTTTAGCAACGGGGCAGCTCTAGGAGTGAACCAAGTTCACTCTAGGAGTGAAGCCAAGTTCTCACACGCTGTCCCGATTTTAAAAACAAATCTACTGATCTAAATCTCTATTCATACTCATTTTCCACAATCAAAGTGCAGAGCTGGGCTCCAGCCGACCACGCTCGTGGGCAGCAGTTACCACGCCAGTCGGCCCAGGGGAGGCCCGCAAGGCACGGGTAGAACATTCCCGGACCCGACTGTCCACGTGCAGCCGGCTGTTGGCAGGGGGACAGCTGCTCTGAGGAGGCTGTGCAGCAGGTCACCCGGAGAGCCTGAGAAAATCCTGATGCCCAGCTCCCCGCAAAGGCCAAGTGAATGGGTCTGGGGTGACGCCTACATGCTGCCAAGGTTGAGAACCAGGTCTGTACAGAAGATACGGCCGAGTGTGGAACTTAAGACGGTTTAGTTAAGACTGCTCTGCTTTACCCCGTGGATAGATGTTCCTCCTCTTTCTCTCCTTTTGGGGGAAAATACCCTTAGAAACGTGAATTAAAACATACTATTTACTCCTGTAAAATACAAACCCCTGGAGGAGATGGTTAGCCCTCCGGAGCTGCTTGCCCAGGAGGTTCAGAGGTTAAGAGTCGTTTTGGAACAAAGTTGTAAACGGCAACAAGAGAAAACTAAAACTGCGGGGCCGGGTTTATACTTCGCTCCTGTTTCTCTGCTTCGAAAGCGAAGCCTCATGTTTCCCCACTCCCGCTCTCAACTGCCCCACTCCCCTCCTCCCGCAGCTTCTCGACTAGGGAAGACTGGGAGTTACCCCTGTGCACGAACAAGTGTATCTCTGTCAGGATGTCCTGTAGCGCCAACCCCTTCAGGGTTTTCAGCTCCATAATATCTAGGGAGGAACAGTTAAGGCAAAGGGCCAGCTTCCGGAACAAACGCGCTGCACAGAATTCTGAATCCCAACTCCAGTGGGGGTGACTTCTGGAAGGAGGGCTTCTAACCCCACCGTGGCAGTTGCTCTCAATCCAGCTGCGCCAAGGGGGCTCCTCCTTGCCTCTCCTAGGTTTGCATCTTCCATAGGGGCGTTCCGATAGAACGGTCTCTGCCTAGTAGAGGGCAGAGCCGAAGGCGTCCCCCAGAAGGCCTCCTGTCACCGCCCCTGGCTTTGAACTTCACAGCCAAACACGAGTAGCGCCGGCCACTCCAGAACGATCGCATCTGCCGCCCCCAACCCCAATGTCTAACTGCTGCTCTCGTCCGCGAGCAGGGCGTCCTCAAGCTGTACCCATGTCAGAGTCCTTCGGGAAGAACTTTAGGGCATTACAGACGAGGACGCGCCCCACCCACAGACACCGTGTGTCCCCAGCAAGCGGCCCAGACCCACGAGCAGCCAACCGTCTGGCCAGCAGGGTGTAGACGCCGGCTGCAGCCTGGACTCCTGGGCCGAGCTCGGGCCTCACGTACACCCCGCACCGTCGGCAGCACCCGAGGAAGGATACTCCTGTAGGCTGTGGTGAAGTCTTGATTCAACATCCAGTCCAGAATGTTGGCAATGTCGGACTTGAGGGGGTGCCCAGTGCAGGTGTAGACCGTCTCCTCCGTCACCTTCCCGAAGGCCATGTTGGTGCTCTGCGCAGGAGGGGGAGAATCGTGGCTGTCACGGCGGCCACCACGCTGCAGCCGGCTCCAGAACCCTTCCCTAGCTTTCCCTGGTTTGCAGCACGTTACTCTCTCAGTTACTCAAAACCCCGAGGTGGGGGGAAGTCGTCGGTACAGGGGGAGATCGAGATCTTACCAGTTTCTCGATTTCTGAACTTATAGGTTGGCTGTGTGCTGCTTTTGTCTTTCTCGAAAACCTCTTCCGAAGCAGCGGCTCGAGACCTGCTGCAGTGGTTCCGTACCTGCAGAATGTTCAGAGCCCTCCGCATATCCCCGCTGGAAAGGGTCACGAGGGCCTTCATCCCGTCCTCACTTAGGTCCACGCTGAGAGGAAAGAGGCAGGAGGCGGTCAGGGGCCCTGAGAGCACGAGCGTTCAGCCAGGGGATGACTAAGGCTTTGAAATAATGAAAGGAAAGGGAAGGACAGAGTAAAGAGCACTCTCCCGATCTATGGCGGGCTCTCGAATTCACTCTGGTCTTTGGGGCTGTGGGCTTCACATTAGCAGTCACCGCCCACTCCCAAGTCGGGAGCGAGCCTCCCTGAGGCCCAAGCATTGCTGCGTTGAGCAACGGGCTTTGAATTCTGTTCTCCGAGAGGCAAGCGCGCTGGCGAGAGCTGCAGTCACGGAGGCAGACCAGCCCCTTTCACAAAGCAGCAGCTTGGGCTGGCTACGGGCCTGGCAACTGACGGTACAGAAGGTAATGTCTCAGTACCTTCCCTCCTAGTCCCAAAAGGCTGGAGGCATCTTAGCAGAAGAGACTCTGGCAGCACGCCGTTGCCAATGACAAAAGAAGAGTAGGAGGAAGTCAGGACGGCTTCCAGGGGAGGAGGATGGAATCAGAGAGGAACCAAGTGCCTTTTACGAAGACCGCCCATGAGACGCCAGGGAAGAGGATAGCAGCTCGCAGACCCCGATGCTGACTCTGTGCCAGGCACCCTCCTTAGCTCTTTACACGCCTTATCACCTTCAACTGCAGACCAGCCAGCCAGCCCAGGGCCCTGCCCACCCCCCACCCCCCCCCCCAGTCCTAAGGCCCTGGGCTTTCCTGCTTTCCCTTGTACTTACTTCTCTTCTTCTATGACGTGCTCCAGGCGGGGGACCATGAGTTCAGGAGTCAGGGGGCCAAATCGGAACCTGGTACACCGGGACTGCAGGGCGGGGATGATCTTTGACAGGTAGTTACAGATGAGGCAGAATCTGGTATTCTCAGTGAATTTCTCAATCACTGGCAAGGGAAAAGAAAACCAGCTCCTGTCTGTTCTGAGCCTTCCAGAGCCCTGGAGGCCCCACACTATTCCGAGCTCACGTGCACGAGCGGAGGCCATCCACAGGTTGGAGAGCTCCGGGACCGAGGGGCTGCGGCCGGGGTGGCCAGGACTGGAAGCCAGCCGCGCTCCTCCCCAAAGCTGATGGACACGTCACCTTGACGGGATTTTATAAAATGCTTCCCTTCCTTCTCATGTGCCATGATTCTGGCGTTCTTGCCATATTCCTGTCCTTTTGCATAAAACTCCACTTGGCAGGTTGATGATGCCCCACCTTCTAATGGTGGGGGAGGGGGGTGGCTTGTTGTGGACTTCCCAGTGGACTCTGTCTCGAAGCCTTAGAGGATTCGACAGAGTGCTAACTCAAATTCAGAAAGCTTAGGAAACACCGGGTGCATTCTGGAGTTACCCGATGTTCTTGCAAGGGGACCTGCCCAGACTGATAGTCACTGTGCAGAGCAAATGTTGAAGAAAGGCTGCCAAAGCTTTTAAGATCAGAAGACACTCTGTCCTCCTCCTCTTAAACCCACTCCTTCTCCCCACAAATCTGCAAGACCGCTCCTCTCTCCTAGCTGATTACCTCAGAATCTTAATGCAAGAGATTACCAGTGTCCTTTCAAAGAAATCCACTGCACCAGGGCCCTTAAGATAGACAACTCACATGATACTCTCCACCCCTTGGCAAATAGAAAAGTCATGTCAGCTTTCTGAGTGCAACTATGTTTCCAGTATTATTTTCCCGGCTACTGTCTTATCTCAGGGTACCGAGAGCAGAAAAGTCTACCCAGCAGTTCAGGAAAGACAGACTTTCCATACCTCCTCCACTCTTTCTAAGAATACAAATTCCCAACCCCAAATTGAACCCCGTGGAAGAGGAGGATGGGACACCAGGGTCTGGTCAGAATTAAAAGTCCCACCAGGGCCTCTATCTTTAAGCTGCTGAAAGGGGAAACCCCCAGTACAGAGAGCTTTGGTCTAGATCGTCAGGTTGGCTACACACAGAGAAAGGTCAGCAGGTTTCTCTGGGCCGGAAGATGAAAATGGTCAACAAGCCAAGACCTGTCTCATGTCCAAAGCTCCTAATTCTCTTTCGAAGGCACTCCTGAGCCAACACACTATCCCTGGGAGCTCTTCTTACCTCTCCTCAAGGCATTCTGGGCGTCTTGAGTCATGGCGTCAGCTTCATCCAGGATCACTAGTTTGAAGCCTTTCCTAGGAAAACAAATGGTACCATCTGAAGATTTCTTCAGTCTCACCTCCACTTCCAGGCTCAAACCTACACATACAATTGTGCCATAAGGCCCTGCCTCAGAGAGTCCATTCCTCCTTGACCTCTGAGCGAAGCAGACATCTGTGGTCACACAGAGGACATGCCCGTCACTCTCCACTCTTAAAGGGACTGAGGTCTGACTTGGGTATTTTTGTTACATTGTTTCCTCTGGCACCTCTACCTTTCTTCTGCGCACACTGGGTATCCTGTTACTCGGGGCGTGGCATTGCTTTTTCCCACCACCTTCGCCCTTCACTCATGCCTGTCTTTTCATCTTTTCCTTTGTTTACCACCATCCCCGTTGTCCATCCCGATCTCAATTCATTTTTGTTTAAATTCAAACTAGCTCATCTGGTCTTAGGATGTCCTCAGTCTTTGGGTAACTAATAAAATGAGTTAATGCTTCCCAAAGAACTTGCTAATATAGACTCAGGTAATGTTTTATTTTGATATTTACATTATTTCTTACTAGCGTCCTTGTACTTTACCTCTTTTTCATGGCTACTTTTGACAATGTCATTTGTTACCTTTACAGACTAGCAAAGGGGAGGATTAAAAAAATTAAGCTCTGTCATTTCACTGATCAGAATCTCTAGGGAGAGAAATTATGCAAATAATTCTTACTTAAATATTGTCCTTGTGCTAGCAAAGCTCAGGATTGGCCCCCGAACGATATCTATTCCTCGGTCGTCTGAAGCATTCAGCTAAGTGTGAAAGAGAAGCCAGAGTAAATTAGAAATATGTTGGTGATTTCCATCAATCCAGCTTGGCAAGCTAGGTCTCTAGGTCTAACGACACCTACGAGATAAACACTATTAAAAAGCCAAGATCACAACTATATTTAAAACTCACAACTCGCTACACCATTCCATTACATTCTGAAGGGCAAATGACTGTGTTTCCTCCCCCTTTCGAGGACAACCGCTGACATACTCTGGCAGAATAATTAATTGGCCTGGCCACAGTGAACAGCACCTCTGGCATGAACAGAATCATGCTAATTTTAGCTACCGAAACCCAGAGCAACCCAGAAGTTACCCAGTCTTTAATACACTCAAGTAAGAACATTGGTGGCACCAAGGTTCTAAGATCTATAACAAAAAAATAAGCTAGACATTTTTTTTCTTGCAGTAGACAATATTTAAAATTTTGTAATCTAAGGGTATCAGTCAAATCTCAGAGCAAACAGATGGCATACTCAAATTCAGTGATTTGAAGAGAATTACATGAAGAGACATTTTAAACGGTGGGGTGTGGGGTAACCAAAAGAGCTATGCAATACCTCTGCAACTGCTGGGGCCCATTACCAACCCCAAGTCTTGAGAGGTGAGTGGGCAGGGGGGGTGGTGTTGGCACCGTTGGATAAGGCTGTGGGATTTGCCCTGCGGGTGGGGATGCTGTCAGCCTGTGGTGACCCCCAAGACAGAACCAGGCATCATTCTCCCTCTCCCGACTCCTGCCAGGGCCCCTATTGGCCAAACCTAACCAGGGGGAGCCAAAGGACAAGGCAGCCTGTAGTCAATACAGCTCAGCCTTCCAGGGCAAGAACAGCGGGGAGCCACGTGGAGAAGAAATCTGGACAGGCACATGGGAGACAGCAAGCCACCGAGTGACCACTCACTGAGTGACCCCTGAGTGTTGGCGTGTAAGTTGGCAGAGGCAAAGAAAAACATCTAGCCCTACCACTGCCCTCTAGCTAATGCGAATCCAGACCCAAGTGTCAATTCTAGATAAAAGCCACTCGAGATATTTTATGTCTGTTCCTTTCCCCACCTCTAGCACAGCAACTTACTTGTAAAGTAAGACAAATCTAAGAGAACTAAGAGACTCGAGTTCTTTGCAGAGTAAGAAGAATCCTCTTATTTACCTCCAAGACCATGGAGCCAAATTCCTTATCTTTGTATAGCTGTTTCGCACAGGCTAGGATGGTGGAGGTCTTTCCCGTCCCTGGAGGACCATAGAGAAGCAGGTGGGGCAGGCGATCTTCACTAATAAATTTCTGAACTGAGGGTTGGGAAGAAAGAAAGACCCCATCAGTTTCCGAGAGTTGCCTCATTCACCGTGGGCCCTTGAGTTGGCTTGAATTTACTTCAACACTACATTCAAATCAGAGGTAGATGCAGGAATGAAAAATCTGAAGGACTCAGATCTTACGGCAACATTCCATAAAGCTCAGTCAGATACTTCAAGGTTATTACTCAGCAGAGACATCACCAAGAAATGATACGGTCCTCCAACTAGAATGACAGCAACTGACACATGGATGCTTACTGGTACTCAAAATGTCCTGATGAGAAATCAGATCATTCAGTGTCTGTGGCCGGTACTTTTCAACCCTGAAATACAATTTAGCATGGATTACAATATATACAAACGCAAGAACATGCTGTCACGTGCAAAAGAATCCTTTCATATCCTAATGAAGAGGAAGAGAAATAAAATCCTTTAACTTTTAATACAGACCACTGGTTCTCAACCAGGGGCAATTTTGTCCTTCAAGAAACACTTGGTGATACCTGGAAACATTTTCAGTTGTCAAAATTGGGTGGAGGGTGCTACAGGCCTCCAGTGGATAGGAACCAGGGCTGTCACTAAACATCCTACGATGCGCAGGACAGCCACCATGCCCGCCCCCACCAAGTATCTAGCCCAAAATGCCAATAGCACTGCTCTAATTTCACCTTTCCAGCTGTCTGCCTATAAACAATCTCAACCTGGATGGGCACCTACTATTTCAAAGTAAATTAAAAACTGAACTCTTTGGGGCACTTGGGTGGCTCAGTCGGTTAAACGTCTGCCTTTGGCTCAGTTCCTGATCTCAGGGTACTGGGATTTTGCCCTCCGTCGGGCTCCCTGCTTAGCGGGGAGTCTGCTTCTCTCCCTCTGCACACCGCCCGCCTCATGCTCGCTCTCTTTCTCAAATAAATAAAAATCTTTTTAAAAAAATTGAACTCGGGCGCCTGGGTGGCTCAGTTGGTTAAGCAACTGCCTTCGGCTCAGGTCATGATCCTGGAGTCCCGGGATCGAGTCCCACATCGGGCTCCCTGCTGAGCAGGGAGTCTGCTTCTCCCTCTGACCCTCTTCCCTCTCGTGCTCTCTCTCTCAAATAAATAAAATCTAAAAAAGTAAAAAAAATAAAAAGAAATTAAAAAAATAAAAAAAATTGAACTCGTACCCAAATATACATCAGAAGATGAATGGATAAATAAAATGGTGGTCTATCCATATAATGGAATATTATTCACCCATAAAAAGGAATGAAGCACCCACACCTGCTACAACATGGATGAACCCTGAAAACATGATCCTATGAAAGCCCCCAGTCACAAAAGGCCACATACTGATTCTATTTATATGAATATCCACAATAGGCAAATTCAGAGGAAGGGGACGTGGGGATGGGGAGTACCTGCCAATGGGTATGGAGTTTCCATTTGGGGTAAAATGAAAAAATTTGGAACTAGACAGTAACGTGGTAGCACAACGTTCTCAACGTACTCAAAGTCACGGAATTATATACACTTTACAATGTTTACAACTGTAAACTGTATGTTATGTGTTTTTTCCACGATAAAAACAAACTGAACTCCTTATTAGACGAGACCAACTTGGACCTTTCTGAAGAAATCAAGCCGAATCCCTTCAGTTCCTAAAACATCATTCAGACGCAGCTGTGGAAGTAGGATGGTTATGAGTGCAAGTTCTGAATTCACCTGGGTTCAAATCCCAACTTATTTTCTAGCTCCGGACCTTGGGCAAGTCCTTTAACTTTTTGGTTTTACAACTGGAATAATAACTACCTAGGCTCTTTGTAAAGATCAAACGTCTAGCAGGGTCCTTGCTAATCTAGTAGGAAGCCACTTAAATACAACTTAACTGGGGAGCGTTATTATCGTCATTATTATTTCAGTTTAGAATTTGAGCAATAATTGCATTGAAGATTCCAGCAAGAGTAGAGAGCATTTTGGCACGAAGGCCGATGCGAAGTCAGAAGACGCGGGATCTAACCCCTGGGCTGTCACCCCGTGCGTAAAACGAATAGGGGCGGTGGGAGTAGGGCAGCGGGAAGGCCTGTAAAAAATCCCAGAAGAACGGAGGGGACTGGGGAGCTGGAGACGTCAAGGCGAAATTCTGGGGCGAGGTCCGGGCCGCAGGTCGGGGGCGGTGGGGCGAGGTCCGGCGGGCTGCGGCCTGGCCGCTGGCCCACCCCGGCCACCGATCCCCCTTCCTGCGGCAGCCGGGCCTCCTCCTACCAGGGCAGGTTTCTGATCTTGGCCGCCGCGGGCTGCCGCTGCTCCTGCTGCGCTGAGGTCTCCATGGCGGGGTGATAAAGGTGTGCGGGTCCGCTGGGATCGTCGCGGCCCCGAGGGACCTGCACAGCCACTAGCCGCGCCCCGACCCCGGGACCCGGGCACTTAGAGTTCGCGCGCAAAAGCAACTCTCGCGAGATGTAGCCTCCTGCTTCCGACTTCCTCCCTAGGTCCCGCCCCCTCCCCGTTGCCAAGGCGCCGGTTACCAGGTTACCGGGAGGCGCCGGCCGCCCGCCACCCTCCCGGTCCGCCCTTCCAGCCCCGCGCGGCCCTTTCGCCGGGGCGGCGGGGCTCCCTGAGCCCGGGGACGGGGGGAAACAAGAGAGGCCAGGTCACCCCCTGCAGCCGCCAGTCATCATTACAAACTAAAGTCTCGCGGCCAAAGCCAATTTCAGCTACCACCAAAGTTCGGACACTTACCGTTCAAAGGAACAGAGAGCCTCCAGCGATGAAAACCCCCCAAATGACAGGGCCAGTTCTTGAATATAGATGCCCTAGGAAAAAGGCCTCGAAATAAGCTGGGAGGTGAGTACTTCGAATTGATAAACACCTCCAAACACACACAATTCCAATCTACCTCCCAAGCCATGCCCGTCACCCAACCAAATCGAAAGAACCAAGCTCCAGAAACAACCCCAGAGTGAAAACAAAAAATAAACTCCCAGTTAAGGTTAATATGTGTAACTGGAAAGGGCTGGTCACTAAGCACAGAGGACAGGGTCCCTATGACCTGAAGACAGGAGAACCAGTATGGAAATTTTAGTGCCTGTTTCTGCGATGAGGTGATTATGGACCACTTTGATTTTCTCCTGTTTCGCTGGTCTGTATTTCCCAGCAACGAGTATGTATATTACATATTACAGATTACATACTTTATGCGTAATAAAGCTTTTTTATTTTATTTTATTTTCATTTTTTAACGTGTTGAGAAAGACAGTAGGGAGAAGAGAGGAGGCTGGGCTGGGGTCAGAAGTGTTCTGATTCAGAAACACCTGCTCTTTGCACCTTATTACATCACTGGCACCTGCTCTAGGAACAGAGTAGAGGGACTGTGGGGCAAATACATGATGGTGGTTATGCTTCAACGCTAGCCCCTGCCTGGAGAGTCAAAAGAAGGGGGGAGGGTCAGATGTGGCTTGTGGTGTGACAGTGGCCAGCTCTTAACTCTGCTTGTTCAGATCCTTAGTCTGCCACTTTGCCACTTATCTTTGGGCATCTGGCTTCTCTCCGTGTCCAATAATCTCTACTCCAAAGGTGCCTGCCAGGATCAAATCACACATGTAAAGCAGCAGGCACATTGCCGCCTTACTCTCTCCTTCCCTTCTAGGACACTCTCCACCCACCCTGTTCTTGTTTCAAATGTTTCCTCTCAAGCAAGACCTACTCAAGAATTGGCTGGTGTGACTATGCCCGCGAGGGTTGATTTCATGTGTCAACGTGACTGGACTCTGGACGCCCAGAGAGCTGGTAACATATTATTTTGGGGCTGTGTCTCTGAGGGTGTTTCTGAAAGAGACTGGCATTTACTCAGATTGGACTGAGTAAAGATCGCCTCACCAGTGCGGGTGGGCATCATCCCTCATCCCTCATCACTGAGGGCCTGAATAGAATGGAAAGGCAGAGGAAGGGTGAATTCGCTCTCTTTTTGAGCTGGGATATACATCTTCTCTTGCCCTCAGATACCAGCGCTCTTGATTCTCAGGCCTTTGGATTCACACTGAATAACACCACTGGCTCTCCTCGGTCTCCAGCTGGCAGACAGTACATCGTGGGACTTCTTGGCCTCCACCATCATGTGAGCCAATTCCTAGGATATATAAAATATAAATATGAATATAAAAATATAAAACATATTTAAAATACAAAATATATTAATTATACATATACGTTATTGATATATAAAACATAAATAATATATATCAATAAATATATACAATGTAAAATGTATTCTTTTAAAGATTTATTTATTTATTTATTTGACAGAGAGTGACACAGCGAGAGAGGGAACACAAGCAGGGGGAGTGGGGAAGGGAGAAGCAGGCTTCCCACGGAGCAGGGAGCCAGATGTGGGGCTCGATCCCAGGATCCCAGGATCCTGACCTGAGCCAAAGGCAGATGCTTAATGACTGAGCCACCCAGGCACCCCTGTAAAATGTATTTTAAGTCTACATAATAAAAATATAAATGACATATATATAGCCATTTTGCTAAGGGGCCTTTATATTAGAAACATGATGCCACCACCTCCTTGAGCTGGAAGATGTGAACGAGACTGGACCAAGTTCTCATAAAACTCTGTGTGCACCTGCTGTTCAGTTTCCTTGGAATGCAGAATTCTTCTGCATGACATTATATTATATATTTACAAGGTCATGTGTTGTGTGCCTCCCCAGTGGATTTTAAGCTCATTGGGAGGCAAGGCTTTGATTTATTCACCAATAGATTCCTGGTGCTTGGAACAGTGCATGGCTCAAAGGCACTCAATTAACAATTGTTCCATGAATGAATGAATGAATGAATGAATGAATGAATGACAATAGTTAATACTCTTTAGGCAGTTACTATGGGCCAGGCACTGTTCTAAGTGCTTTGCTTTACGTTTATTACACTCACTTTATAATTTGTTGCGATAAGCCTGAGCCCCTATCATTAGCCCCATTTCATAGACATGTTAAGTAACTTGCCCAAAAGTTTAGTAGGTTTTGTGACTTGGTGTAAGGGGCACAACTGGATCTAACCAGGACTATGTGATTCTATAGCCCGAACTCTTAGCCGCTCAGCTACTGTGGTCCCTGGACTAGCAGCAGGAGCATCCCCTGGGAACTTGTTAGAAATGTTAATTATTCTTCTCCCCACCCCAAAACCACTGAATCTGAAACTCTGGGGGTGGGCCCAGCCATCTGTGCTGTAACAGGCCCTCCAGGGGATTCTGATGCACTCAAGTTTGAGAACCACTGCCCTACACTCCTCCTGCTTCTCAGTCCTCGAGCTCACCATGACTTCACTTTCTAAGAAAGAGAATGGGTACTCACTTGCATACTCTGGAAAAACAGAGGTGTCCATATAATGTGTGTGTGTGCGTGTGCGTGTGTGTGTATGTGTGCTTTTGTGTGTTTCTGTTTTGTTATTTATTGAATTAATTGAAGGTACAGTCCTTTGGGCAAGTTACTTAGGTGTCTTTGGACCTCAGTATTGGCATTTGTGAAATGGGCAGGGGTAGGGGGCTGGATTAGAGAGAGGGAGGACATTAAGAGCACCTGAGGATTTTACAAAATTCTAATACGTGAAGCCCAGCCAGACCAATTAAACCTGGCCTTTGGGAGTGGGACTAAGCACTAGCAGTTTTAAAAAGCTTCCCAGGTGATAAGAGTACGCTAAAATCGTACTAGGGCCTGTTGTGAGCCAATCACAGCAATCCTAGCCCCCGATTGGCTTAAAGGTGAGCATGTGACCCAGTTCTGCCCAATGAGATGTAAGGGGGAAAAGGGGAGAGGCGCCTCTGGGAAAGTTTTCTCCTTACGAACTTCGTGGATCCTTGCACGGGCGATCTTTAGCCTCTCTCCCAGAGGAAAAATTCTGTCACCTTGAAGAGAAAGAGATAAAGACCCAAATTACAAGCTCACACGTCTCTAAGCAGCCTAGGGGTTAGTACATGAACAAGAGGGCTGGGTGGAATCTATGCCCTGCCGCTAGGGAGCGGCGTTTGCAGGTGGAAGATTTAAGCAGAGAAGGAATGTAGTAGCGAAATAGTGGCTGGCTCAGCATCAGTCGGAAGGCTGGCGACCCCGACTTGGAAAATGGAACAAAGACAGGCCAAGGAACTGAAACCATGGTCAAAATTATGCCACGGAAGAAAACCAGTAAGGAAAGTGCAGCTGCTTCCGACCTTCAGGAGCCACTGCCCCCGCTGCCCCCCTAGACAATGGATGTCGCTTTCCCAAACATTTCCACCGTCAGAAAGATTTCACCACTTCTGTCCTGCAGTGGATGCTAACTGAAACTAGCGCCCCATTCAAAGTCTGGGGAGACATGCCTAATTGTCCAGGCGGGGGTTGCATGTTGGCCAGTCCCTGGTATATGGTTTGAATGGCGGGAAATGACTTCTGCCTCCCACCGCTTGTGAACTGAGGACATCCTTGAATATAGATAGGAGAGGGGTTCAGATGCTGGCCACCAAAGGATCACAAATGTTCACTTGCCAGTATTCAGCCATGACGGACGGCAGCCAAAAGTTGCCAGAACGTATGATTTTTTTTTAAGGGAAATCAGAAATTTACATTTTTATGTGAAATTATCATATGTTAAACATTGGCAACTAATTAAAAAAAAACTTGCTGATCAAGCACAAATGTTGGGTCATTTTGTGACTTTTTCTCTCTCAAGTACAGATGATCAGGCAAAAGATACAGTCATTTCTTCTCACCCTCTGCCTAGATTGTAGACATTCTGGAGGAATAAGGGTAAATCGAGCTGGTATCTCCATGTGAATTGTGACGTTGATGAGCATAGGCACAAACTTCTCTTATGTAATCAGAACCAGATTTGGAAATGCTTTAATAAAACAGTAGGTCCTAGAGATGGCAGGATCAGAAGTTACAAACAAAATTACCAATGAAAGGCATTTGCTCTCAAAATTGAATTAGGGAAAGGGAGCCCTGGATCTTATTACTCTTAGCTTTGGAACAAACTTGGCTTTGGACACAGCACTTACTGCCTTAGTTTATTTTTAAGATTTGTTCTTATGAGAGAATGGGATGCGAGGCTATCTTTGGAAGATGCTGGCAGAAGAAAATCAAACTGGGTCTTTCTCCTGAGCATGTTTATACTGGTGAAATCATGTTTAAATGAAGAGCAAGGACTTCAAGGAGGAAAAAATCTCAAAGGGCAATTTGAAGTGTTTGTGTAGAGGAAGGGCCATCTTCTTTGGTGACCACAGCAAAATCATTGACTGATAAGGAATGTAAATCTTCAGATCTTTTTGGGCCCTTGCCCCCTTCAATGACTTTCTCTTGTCGGAAACCCCAGAATGCCCCATATCAGGGTTTAGGGAAATCCATTCATCATCCCCTAATGTGTGTTAATTGAATAACTAAGGAATGGTTATTTTTTGATTCCTGAATCTGATGCTCTTTAAGTTTGAGATTGAAAGGGTGATTCATATGAATTTGCTCCATGGGCTCAAAAAATGTCACATTTCTTAATTTTTCTAAATTACATATAATGTGGCTCAAGGTCCTCCACTGTCTCTTCCTCAAGCCAAGGTTTGGAAATTCATTCTGTGGGAGTTGGGTTCCTTCCCTTCCCTGGGGTCATTTAAGAAGGCTAAGAGGTTGTGGGGAAATAGGCCAGAACATTTGAGGAAGGGCTTTTAGTCTTCAGTTGTTCCCATAGTCTGTTGGAATAGATGCTCTTTGTCATCAGGTTTGAGGTTTAGACTTCCCTGTGCCCCTCCTTTGAAATTCTGCCACCTTCTCCTTCTCACCCACTTACTAACTCAAAGTGAGTTTCCAGAACCAATAGTATCAACACTCCTTGGGAGCTTGTTAGAAATGCAGAATCTCTGGACCCACTCCAGGACTCCTGAATCAGAATTGCATTTTAACAAGGTCTCCAAGCAGCTGGTGTGCAGATTTCAGCTGAGAAGCCCCAGATACCACATAATGTATCTCTCTCCCACCATCTTGCTCTCACCGCTGTTCTGCATCTCTAGTGTGGAATTCATCAGGGAGTAGGGCCACTGGCCTCTCACGTAACACTCCCACCCCCTTCTGCTAAGGGCCTAGCATTTTGGTAATTCAACTCCAAGTCCCAAAGTTCCTAGTCTCCCCTGAGCCAGGCAAACCCAATGCTCTAGGACTCTGAGGCTTAATTGCTTGGGGAAAAGAAAAAAAACTCCAAAACCCTTAGTTTTTGGTGATGAGTCTACAGTAGAAAGTAAGTCCAGTTAATTTCTCCACCACATTATACCTAATAATAGGCCCTCTGGGCTGTGAAATTTTAAAAATACTTCTTCTTCTGGAGTCTTCCCTGATTCCCTGTAGTTTGAGCCCAGCATAATTGCCCTGGGCTAGAATCTCTGGGGCCATCTTGATTGAAAAAGAGGAAAAGGTGTTAATAAGGAGGGGATGGAAGTTTAGTTCCATTATCCTGGCTCTGTTCCGTGCTGGTCCAGCCATGGACCACACTGCCGTTGGGTCTATGGAACAGAATTGCAAGGCAAAAAGCAGTTGGTGTGTACCTGTTGTACAATCTTTGTGCAAAACAAGGGGACCGTTTCTCTCCCCTCTCTCATCATAGAAGGGGCCCCGGGGGATGCAGCGAAGTGAGAAATAGACCTTAATATTGGCAAAAGACTGCAGATTCAATTCGAGGATGAATAGTAATAAGAAAATGCAAATTACTATCATTATTTACGTTGCATGGCAGAGTTACACAACACTTTATTATACAGTAGATGCTACACAAAGAACTGCTATTTATAGACATTTTGTCCTGTTCCTCCAATCCCCCTAAACTCACACTTTCAAAGCATCTGGCCCAAGTTCAATGGCAATGTGATTTTAAAAATACATTTATTTTAAATATATGCAATACTGAAAAATAAAACAAGAAGAGCCAAGGCTGCACCAGGTCAGCGTGGAGAATTTTTTTTTTTCCATTTTTTTTTAAAAATATTTTATTTATTTATTTGAGAGAGAGAATGAGAGAGACAGAGAGCACATGAGAGGGGGGAGGGTCAGAGGGAGAAGCAGGCTCCCTGCCGAGCAGGGAGCCCGATGCGGGACTCGATCCTGG